ATTAGAAAAAAAAATGCTCTAAACGTTGCTCTGACATTTCATTTACTTCCCATCCTTTTTCAACTGCTTAGTCCCGCAATAGATGGCGCTGTAACTCCGCAAACATATTGACCTATTGTTATTTCATTGGCCACTCTGCAACAGCTGGGAGTCGCGGCGCGCATGACGTCACGAACCAAGTAAGCCACTCAAAGAGGCTGCTCCGACTCTCCGCTACGAAAAGTAGGGTGTCTGATGCAAATTAGAACTGCCGCTAGGCGAACTTTAAATGAAAATGTTATTCAAGTTTAATTAAGAGATTGATCTAATATCCGATGAACGGAATGTTGATCATAGGACTGCTTAGCTTTATTTCCGGAGACGGAAAAATTAACCGGCATTCTCCCAACCGCAGAAGAGCAGTGGTAGCGGGCGGGAAGAGCTATTGATCGTCAGAGACTGAGAACGAGAGGGAGAAGATCGGGTGCTGCCTGTCGTGGAACCATGGCATCGTGGTTGTGAAACCTTTCTCGCAGTTGGACCCAGTCGCTGTTGTGATCAGCCAGCGTGTGATTCTGTTCACAACATGCTCACTCGGCATTAAATATCCGTAGGACGGATGTATCCATCTAGAGTATCGTCATCTCATAGTTTAGTAGTAGATGCAGACGCGAATAGATGCAGCACCAGCCATGTCTCGCGAAGTGTACGGGAGCAGCAGCATTAACCAAAAATCGCCCAAGCCAGTCCGCCGCGATCCAGTCGCCTCAGCAGCATCCTCCACTTACTATAAACCATCTTCCATCTCTCAGCCAGTGTCCAGCCGAGGCAGCCCCATCGGCTCACGCACTGCGTCTACCGAAAATCCGGCAGCAAACCGGAGAAGCAGTCGCCACGGTTACGGAGTAAGTCGGTCTAGCAACGCTAGCCCCGTAACGTTGCCTACAGACGGCCCCGTGCCGCATTCCATCAGCACCAGCGCCTTTAACGTAGGTCAAGGCTCCGCAGGAGGCCACTACTACAACGAGGACTTGGGCAGCCCGACCATGGACGGGCGAGGAACCGGAGGTCCGACACCCGGCCACCATCGCAGTCGTTCGGCTACCCGGGTGCCTCTGAGAAATTACCACTCCCTGGAGCGGGACCAGGACCGAGAATTTGTGCCCATCCGCGATCCCAGAGACCGATCCCTCGATCGTACTGACATGACCGGATCAGGAAGTCGACATCCAAGAAGTCGGGAAAGATCTCTGGATCGGTCAGGATACCGTGATCGCGATGATTACGCCTACCGGGATCTTGACGGACCTATGGACACTGATCCCTACCGGGACACTGGGCACTCGATGTCTCGTTCTGGACACGGATCTTACGGTGACACCAGACACAGTTATGGCAGATCTGGAGGTGACGGTTTTGTGATGGAATTACAGTCCAGGCTAAACGACCTGCAAAATCAGTACAGTAACCTCAAAAGGGAACTGGACGCTACGACCCAAAAACTGGGATCTAGTATGCACAGTATTAAAACATTTTGGAGCCCCGAGCTGAAGAAAGAACGTGCTCTCAGGAAAGAGGAAGCTGCAAAATATGCTCTCATCAATGACCAGCTAAAAATACTTCGCTCTGAGAACCAGGTATGTTTTTGTTTACTTAAATACTATTTCCTTCATAACGGATTTGATTTCCGGTTGAGAATATTCATTCATAAATTCAGCAAAGTGTCCATGATTCTTAATTACACACACATATATTGAAAAGTTAGAAACATTTAAATCCAGTACAGATTCAATCTGGAACAAAGAGTTGGCAAATATAAAAAATAAACAAAACAAGTTATTTGCAAATGCAATAAAACACCGTGTATAAAACATGCAATAAGATCAAAGTGCAATAGATCAAAGTGCACAAATGTATATAAAGGACAAAAATAATGTATTAATTTGCACTATCTTTTCGATTCTGTTTTATTTTTGTGCAGTATTTTTTAACTTTTTATACACTTGTGTGCTTAGATCCTAATGCAGGAAAATTTTATTGTTACTTGTAACAAGAGTTTTCTCTGGGAAGTGGGACGAGAGAACTTCCAAGCCTGCAAATGTTAAAATTTTGAACAAAATGGTATTTTTTTTTTTTTTTTATAAGAAAAATTAGTTTTTTTTTTTTTTTTTTTTTTATAGTATATATATATATATATATATAGTATATTGGATTTTGAAGAAACTGATTTTAATTGCAGGAACAACTATAAACGAATTCTCCAATATGTACGCTACCACAGTTATTATTTTTTAAAAATGTATTCGACTTCCTGAAACAGGAATGAAATTTATGTGAATTCTCTTGGCATAAAACAATCTGCATGATTCAGCCCCGAGAAAAATCCCTCACCCGCCATTTTATTTTCATTTTCACGATTTGATTTGGATAACTGATTTTGTTTTCTGAAAAATAATATTTTAAAAAGATTCCGCGATAAATATATATGGGAAATGTGAAATAATAAAATAAATAATTTAAATAATCCTCTGACAATAAACCATAATATCAAATACTTTTAAAGAATACTTTTTAGAAGTTGTCAACAACAAGAATTTAATTCTAATTTGATTGTAACGCTAAGCTGTGCGTCGTATTTTTTGTGTTGTTCCTGCACAGTAAAATATTTCTGACTGTGTTTGGTTATTGTATCAAAGTGTTAACTTTAAATGTTATTTCTAAAACAAAACGAAAAAAAAAAAAAAAAAAGAAGCGTATGATACTTAATATATCTTTCGAATTTATTTTGTTATTAATTTACAAACTAAGCTTTCTAAAAGCAGTAAATACAGATTCATTCCAGTTATTTTTAATTACTAGCTAGGTCCGTGAAATTGCATTATCAGATTTCATTAAAATAACTTTATTTTTTTATTTTTCTTTTTGTAATAGCTATTTTAAGCGTCTCCTTATTCATCACTGAATGTAATCTATTAAAAAAGAATAATATGTACATTTAAAAAATATTAATTCATACTGTTATAAATATGCAGTACACAATGAAAGCCTCGTTTTTTTAGCCCAAAGGAGTGTTAGCTCAGAACGGCTATTACCATATTTACTTGCATAGTCGCTCTCGCGTAATAGTCGCATCTCCGTTTTGAAGCAGAAAAAATCGTCAAAAGTGTACAGTATTGTGTAGTAGATTTTCTAGCATAATAGTCGCACCTAGACTTTCACAATAAAAAATAGGAGGAAAAAAAAAAAAAAAAAAACGACTATTACTCGAACAAACACGGTAGTCTCGAAACGGGATTTTGCGTTCAAAAACTGTAAAGGCTGAATCACTTTTCAAATTGCCACCACCAAAATATTATTACTCTGTATTACTTTAAAAGGAATTATATACAGGAGACTGTGCATTGATATAGGTATTTATCTCGCATTGTGAAAAAAACTACGGTACGTAGAGTCATCAAATTTTTGAAAAACGTAATCTTCCACCCGAACATGGGCGAAAGCCGGTATTTTGAATTTAGAATCCGTTTTATTATCTTTTTCATATTTGGTAAAACTTCAACCAAATTTTTGATTAACAAACTACTTACGATTCAAAGCGAGTAGTAGCAACACTGTACGAAAAAGAACATTTTCATGTCCAGCGCGCGAGATTGCCTATCGAAAATTCTAAAGATATGATATTTTTAAATATTTTGCGATACTGCTGTTAAATAGAATTTTATGTGGTTTAAATTCGAAAAACATGATAAGTAAGTAAATAAAGGTAACACACAACACATTAAAAAAACGCCCCTTTTGCGTAATATAAAATCTGAAAGCTTTCAGATTTTTTTATTATTTTTTTTAAATAATTTTAGCTTAAGGGAACGTTAGCTCAAAAGGGGTATTAATTTCGTTTTGGCATTTTGCGTTGGTTCACTATAAAAGTCTGAATCGAAATTGTGTCCACCAAATGTTACAGTCCTGCATTATATTAGAGCAATTAAATAATGAAGAATCTGCATGAATGTATGTATGTTTTTTGCATTATGAAAAAACTACGGTATCTAGAGACATCAAATTTTGTATTACGCGGTCCTCCACTCGAATATGGGTATCTGGAAGCCTAGATTTAGAATTTAGAACTTTTTTTTATTATCTATTTCATATTTTGTAAAACTTTAACGATTTCAAAGCATTCCATTAACATTAACATCGCTTGCATCTTCAAGCACGGTTATTTTAAGCGCAAGTTTTTTTTTTTTTTTTTTCGTGTATGTATGTGTGTGTGTGAGATATTGCTATTGAATTGAATTTTATGGTTTAAGCGCGAAGAGCAGGATATTCAGTAAATAAAGGTAACACATAAAACGTTAAATAAATGCCGCTTTGGGCATAATCTTAAATCTGAAAGCTTTTTTTTTTTTTTTTTTTCTTTTCCTCCTGTGTTTGTGAAAATTGTAATACTTGTCAACGAGCGTAGATGATAAATATTATTTCTAGATTTCTTTCTTCTTCGAAATTTTTATTTTACCAGGTAGCAATTTTTTGTATTATGGAAAAATTAAGAATGTATATGTTTCTCGTATTGCGGAGAAAACGGCGTCACCTTAAGCCATTAAATTTGGAACACATGTAGACTTTCACACGAACATATGCACATTGTAACCAGAAATTGTAATTTGTTTTTCATTTATTTTTATTATATTAGCTGGATGTACGAAATAGCTCTAGCTAAATTCACAAAAAACATTATATATTTTTTTCGCTTTTAAAGTAACTATTTTAGATGGCTTGCTTAGTATTTGAAAATAATACGCTACTTCGAGCGGTAAACGAGAAATAAAATAATGGCAAAGCACGTCAGGGATATCTGCCTAAGGGGAGGGATGGCTTCGTGGAAAACTTTTTAAGGGAAATTGATTCGTATTTTCTTAAGAATCACGATAACAACCATACAGCCAGCCCGTTCGCACGGAATCCAACCCAGGTTGAACCACCAGCGTTTAGTTTCTTTACCGCACGGCCACTGTTGGATGTATTTATATTAAGTATTAAATTAGTTCATAGTATTAGCCAGAAAAAATAAAAATATTAAAGAAAAAAACCACTGGCATATATAACGTTGTACCATATACCAAACAGATCTGTTTTGCAAAGCACGAATTTTGGGTCAAATTATTAAAAAAAATTAAACTTGATAGTACCTCTGAAAATTTCTATATTTCATATTAATATCATGAAATGAAATATGTGAAAATAAAATTAAATACATAAAAAGAAAGGTAAGGATTTAAAAGATTTTAGAGGCTGTAATGTTACAAAAAGAAAATAGGTTAAAAAATATCTGAAAGATTAAGATTTCAGTGATTGCCCAAAGAGCTCTTTTTTTTAAATTCAGTGTGGTTTATCTGTAGTTATCGACATATGGCCCAGGTGGAATAGCGAAACGAAATTCAAGTGAAATCACGGAACATTTTCAGATGAATATGTATTGAGACTGACATGGGAACGTTATATTTATCTTCTGTCTGTTTAAAAAGTGAAAAAATATGTAATGTAATTTGTAAAACTATTGACTGTTTTTAATTAGATATATCCTGAATTAAATGCATTTTTATTTCTTTGTACGAAGGAAAGGAAGTATTGTAATCGTGAAAAATTTCTGGTATCATATTTCAGTATAAATATCCATTTTGATAGCTTGCGAATCCATTTGAACGATGTTTTTGTTTGATATCTGTACGCACGGACAGAGTAAAGGACTCTTTTTTCCAAAACTTATGAAATGGATTCAGAAGAAATTATTTCGTGACGTCTCTACGTATGTTTCGTGTGTGTCTCGCATAACTCAAAAACGAGTAGTTATAGACCGCTGAAATTTTTTTATATGGAACTGCTATAACATGTAGTTGAGCACTTCCCTTTTAGGTTTCGCCCAAAAGCTGAAACCAAACCATTTCCATTATAGAAATATTTTAGATTACAAAAATATTCATGTTTTGACAACGTCAGATTTAAACAAAAATTAACTTTCGACAAATAGCGACTTTTAATGCGGTCTGCCAGTTCCTCTCTTCGTATGTTGGAAAGCTTTATGCCCGTTATGAAAATATAAAAGTTTTATCGATTATTTTCTAAAATATAAGAAGTTTGACTCCCGTACAATAAAAATTGAGAGGGATATTTAAGTTCAAAATTTGCAATTTTTTATGTCACTTTCAGCTTGCCTGGAGGGATCGGCTATTCTAAGTTAGAATAATTCGAAGAAATACGTTTCCATGAAATGCAGCAAAAAATATGTATTATTTAATAGGTCGTACGAGGAAGTGATGTGATGGCTACATCAGATTTTTTTTTTTTTAATTATTATTTTTGTAACTCCAAAATCGATTACTTTTTAACAAAATGAGAGATAATTTCTAAAATTCATAGGCGATTGGCCAATTTTTTTTTTTTTTTTTTTTTTTTTTTTGAAATTGTGATTAATGATTTCGGAGAAAGCGTGCTCGCAAGCAAGAAAATTATACTTATGAGGAAATTTAAAGTTGCAGTTATTTTTAAATCATGTAAATGCATATTTTTCTTAATAATTTTTTTCTTAACTATAAAAATGTATTTATAAAATTAAAGTTTGTACATTTAAACAAATATTACATACATATCAATAGTGGTTATAGATTACGATGGTTTTCTTTTAGATATTTCAGTAAGTGTTAAATTCGTTTTACGTAAATATTGTAAAAAAAAAAAAAAAAAAACACTCGGGGGGGGGGGAACTAACGATACACAAGAAACTCTCGGAGCATTAAGGGGCACTACTTGAAGAATAACCATGCCAGTCTTTCAATTATGAGGCTGATTGATTCTTTCTGACAGACTGTGCGAAAGTATGGTTTGTTGTCCCTAACTGATTACATCTGTTAGAAAATCCCTTGTTCCCGCAGGCATGAGGTGCACTAATATCACTTGCGCGGAGAAAGTATCACGTCACCTAGAAAGCGAACGAATCAGAAATTAGCGTCCAAATGAGGCAATTCATTGATTCCTAAAAGTGCGCCAGAAATACGCAAAAAGAATCAGTAAATCGGTGGCACCAGCTTTCCTAGTATTCTCAGGAGTTCTGCCCAGTTAAGAACAGTAGTTCAGGATTCTTCAACAGCGACAGGTTTGTAGCTGAGAAGATTCGCGCCGTAACGTCTGCTTTATTCTCTCTGGGGTGATGGTAAAGACCTAGATCTCGAGGTTTACTAGTGATGAAAGGATGAAAAGTGTATTTAAGTTTGTCTGCCTGACTTCTTTTTGGCATTTTGCTACGATTGTTTGGCTCCAAATCAAAATTTTTAACTGGCAACCTTACGGCAAAGGATTACCAACAGGAAAGGTACCGATTACTTCCTAGTTATTGTTTGGCAGATTACACTTGAGTCATGGAATTAAAGTCCAGCCTAAATGAACTGCAGAGTCAGTGTAGCGATCTCAAAAAACAACTGGATGCTACAACAGAAAAGATGACATCTTTCATGCAGACGATTAAAACCTTTTGGAGCCCTGAACTAAAGAAAGAACGGGCTCTGAGGAGAGAAGAATCTACAAAATGTGTTTTCCTCAGTGATCAGCTGAAAGTATTTCGCTGTGAGAATCAGGTATGTTTTCGTTTTGCTGTACTTTTTTTCGTCGGTAACTCAGACAATTTTCGTAACGCAGTTATTCTCAACCTTTTTGCCCCATGCACCCCTTTGCTAAAAGATCGTTCCCTCTTCTCCGCCTTTCCCAAACTCGATAAATATATTACCGGCACTGTACGAAACGCTGGCATTCTATAGACTACCTAGGCATTTTATAGAATGCCTGACGTTTTTAGGCAAACTATGAAATATGAGAATTATTATGTACTTTACTTAGCCACTGTATATAATATCTGGACATTCTATAGAATGACGGATGTTATTTAGACAAAGTATAGAAAAAGGTCATGACAAGGCTATCATTTAAAAGCTGTGCATTCCTCAAAAATACTTTATTTTTTCCAAAAAAAAAGTGTCATTAAAAAAACTTTTATTCAAAATATGTAGTTCGAAATACGAAGTTATACAAAACAAAATGATTAAAGAAATCAATGTATGGAATTATGCAATGAATGTATTAAATGCAAGAATTCTGTATGAATATATAAATGTTTGGATATTCGAAATGAATCATAGATGTATTTCATGCTTTGCTGGTTTGTCATTTGACATTCTGTAGAATGCCTAGGCAATGTATGAAATGTTAATAGTTTCATATACTGCCGGGCAATTTTTGGCATTGTATAAAATGCTTCGATTTTCTATAGAATGCCGGCTTTAATATAGTGCGTATACATCAGCATTCTGTTACACAAACGATAACCTAAATAGATGTATTCTTATGAAAACATTTACAGTGGGTTAAAAAAGTATTGGCAATTTCCTATAATTTATTAGTTAATAACTTAATAAAGGAAATGCTTGAAAATTTTAGCTGTACAAAACAAATATAGGAGGTAATAAACACACAAATCTAATGAAACTTTCGATTTAATACGCGTTTTACACAAAATATACAACAAAAACGTAAATTTGCATATCAAAAAAAGTATTGGCAAAGTTCTAACTGCTGTGCAAATTTCGTTTTGTTGAGGTCACGTGTTTAGACTGACAAGAAACCCTATTAGTATAAATAAAGTCTGCAGTGCTACTTCAAAACTTTTAAAACTTAGCTTGCATCTTTACAAGCTAGACGCGGTGGCAAGGGCAAACGGAACGGAACAAAACTTTTAAAACTTTATTTTGCTAATGATGTGATAAAATTGCTTCGAAGTCGAAGAAGTTGGATGTTAATGTTAAAAACATGATTATTCAGCTCGGAAATAAGGGTTTAACTAATCGTGATATAGGAATACAATTGAACATAAGTATATTTACTGTTAGAAGTGTTGTAAAAAAGTTCAAAGACAGGATCGACGGGAAATAAGATTAGAAGTGGACGGCATCCAATATTTTCTGCGAGGGAAAATGGGGCATTATTAAAGGGGTTAAGAAAACTCCTAAAATATTTGCACCCCAGTTAGCCAAAGATTTTAATACTTTGCATAAAACTTAATGTAGAGACTAAACGGAATGTCTGACATGGAGGAAGTTATTATGGAAGGGCAGCTAGAAAGAAATCTTTCATTTCAGAAATAAACAAGAGAAAAATATTAGATTTTGCAAAATCATTTTAACTTATCAGAAGAATTTTGGAACACTGTTATTTTGTCCGATGAATTGAAGTTTAACATTTTCGAGAGTCATGGACGACAAGGGCAAACGGAAAGGAGAAAGCCTAACACCGAACTGGGAAAACAACATTTAACTTAGACTGTAAAACATGGAGGGAGCGTCGTAGTTTGGGCCAGTATGGTAACCTGTGTGCTTTATTGATGGTATTATGACAGCACGCACGTACATTGACATATTGCGCCATAACGTGAAATTCAGTGTCCCAAAAACTTGGCTTAGGAACATCATTTGTGTTTCAACAGGACAATGATTCTAAGGATACAGGAATCTCATCTCGCACTTTTTAAAATTGAGACCCCTTTTTAAAATTGAGATTTTTTTTTCGCGACCCCAGGACCCCATAATATTTACAAAAATTTTGCGCGACCCCATAAGAATTGCGCAAATCCAATATACGCGTGAGGGAAACTGTCAAGTTTTTCACTTGTACGGTAATATACTATTGCAGTTTTAGGTCATTAACTTTAATTTCTAATTTTAAGACATAGAACAATGTGAACATTTTAAATAAGTAACAGACGACACAGCGTCACGTGAAAATTAAGGAAAATGAACGTTTATATTATAAAAAGAATGCACGGAAATGTTTCCGTTTCTTTCTTTGTCTGTATAGTCTTACCTTTATCTATTTTCAGATACATTGCGTAAAAATATTTGCAATTGTAAAATTATTATAATAAGTTAAAAAATATCAAAACTGCTAAAATTTTGGGGGACCCTCTGTTGCATGTCCCGCGACCCCCTTGGGTTTAAAGTCTCAGAGCAGGGCCTTTCTTAGGCCATCGGCTGCCCGCGTACTTTCCTAAGATTGCCGCCCCAAGTTTTTTTTTTTTTTTTTTTAAGTGCTCAGTGATTAATGAGATTTTTATTTCATACACACTAAGTACTTACTATGACAAATTGTATAAAAAGTACTTGCAATGAATTTAAAGTATTTAGGCGTGGTATCGTGAGAGCCCGGCCGCCCCAGATTTTTGCTGCCCGCATACTTTTACCCGGTGCACCCCCGCCAGGAACGGCCCCGTATCAAGAAATTTTTTGGAACGAAACATGTTTTTCGTCACTCATTAATCAACTTAATCTAAGACTTCAGAACACTTTTCCCTTGATAAGTTTTGTTTTAAGTGTTAAACAAAGGAGATTAAAATATTTTTTTTATTGTTTTGGTTTTAATATGTACTCTGCTAACCAAAGAAGTAAATTATTTATGAGATAATAATTATTTTCATTTCAGTATTCCGTAATTAGTATCTGGTATTAATTAAATATCATGTTCTTCGCACTTACGTCAACATAAAATTCAGTTGAATTGCAAAATGACAAAATATTTGAAAACAGTATATCTTTAGAATTTTCGATAGTCTCTCGCGCTGAAGATAATGTTTTAATCCGTATAGTGTTTGCTACTTATGGCTTTCGAATTGTTGAGTTTGTTAAGAATTAATTTAAATTTTACAAAATATGAAATTCGAAGTTCAGGCTTCCAGGGTAGATGTTTGGGTGGAGGACTACGTTATTCAAAATTTAATGGCTCTAGGTATCGTCGTTTTTTCACAATGCAAGAAACATACATACGTTCAAGCGGATTCTTCATTTTTTAATTTCTTTAAAAGTAATACACGCCGATAATATTTTGTGGCAACAATTTCAAAAGTGATTCAGAGATTTTTAAAATGATGCGGCGCGAAATCCCGTTTCAAGACTAATAGCCTGAAAACTGTTCTTAAAACTGCGGCTTAAAATTTGAGATGTCATAAGGTTGCAATAGCAATTAATTTGTGTTATGATGCTAAAGTTTGCAACTATTTGCTTTTCCCCCTCTTCAAATAAAGTTTTAACATCGTTTTGATTTTTAAAAATGATTTAACGAAAGATAAATGCATTTAAAATTATAGTTAAGTTTCATTAAAATTAACAGTTTCGCTCATTGGGGCTACATATATAATAATGTAAAGAGCATTAATTACAGGAAATGTACCCTTTTAGGTACTTGCGTATTATCGCAACCAGGTTACGCTATTTGTAAGTTTGAGTAAAAAAGTATGAATAGAAAGAAAATGTACATTTATTAATTACAGATAATTTTTAATACAGTTTTTTATATTATTTTGGCCCACCAGCGGCCGAGCGGTAAAGTCGCTGAACACTGGTAGTTCGGTCCGAGGTTCGAATCCCGCGAACGGGCTGGCTGCATGGGTGTTTTCGTGGTTTTCCCCATGTGTAACGTGTATACGAGCCAGTTTCCCTTAGAAAGTCCTCCACGAAAGGCATCCCTCCTCTTAGGCAGATAGCCCTCGTGTGCTTTGCCATAATTAAATACACCACACCACACCATATATTATTTTGTTTTAAAATATAAAATAGCAATTAAACCCTTCTGGTTTCAAATTTGAATAAGTTGCAGAATTATTTTTTTCGGCGGAAATCTTTTGGCTATTGCTTTTAGCACTGATTGAAAACCGTATTCGCCATACCATGTACACGTCGACTTCTTTTTACTTAAAAAAACACCCCAGAATTGCCAAAAATGGCATTGCGCACACTCTTGACTTTATCCATGTACACTGCTATTTTCTCATAAATTACAAAAATTTGCACGAAAATGCAGGAAAATTTTGTGAATCTCCACATGCTCTTTTTACAAAACTACGTATAACACGTAGGTTTGCCGTAAGTAGGGTCGCCAAATTTGGCAATTTATGCGAATTTTGGCCTGGTTGCGTTAATACGTAAGTACCTAATTGGGTAATTTGAAGCATAAATTTAATCTTTTTATTAACTTTATGTTTAAATCGACCTTGCAATTTTTGTATAAGCAGTACTGTATAAAAAAACTCCACAGGGTGTAACATAGATTTAGGAGCTGAAAGACATTAAGTTAGACGATAAAAAGAGGCAAAATTTTTCCATTCTAAAATGATTCAACACTTATTTATTTTATACACTTAAGTAAAGTTGTTTATTTTACTCTTCTATATCCCAAATACTATATCAGACACTGAAAATTTGCTTTGATTACAATATGAAAACTTTGATGTTCTTTGTTTACAGATTTTGTTGATTAAAACTGAAATATCTTTCATTCTACCGATTGGCAAACGTCTGGTTCGCCGGAGGTAAAAATGTTTTATTTCAAACAGTATTGCCACTGTTAGTTTTCAAATCACTGAGTTTGTTAATAAAAAAATTTCATTAAATTCGTACAAAATAGGAAATAAATCAAAAATAAATTCGAAATTCAAAATTCGGGCTTCGGGGTGCATATATTCGGGCGGAAGGCTTACATGTGTTCAAAATTTGATGGCTGTCATTTCAAATATCATAAGAGCAGAACAGGTGGAGATTGGTACTCAAAATACAAAGAAGATACTGACAATTACATTGGTTCCGAAACGGCAATGGCTTCGATTGCAACTTTATTGGACTCCTTTAACCAGTGGGGATTCGAATACAATGATAAAAAAGCACTTTGAAATGTTCTAAATGAAATTAGGCAAATGTTTAAACATTCTCAAAAACGAAGTAAATTTGCTGATTTTTTTCTAAGAAATAAACACATACAATATGCATGAAAACTGATAGTTTGGAATAATATCCATGTTTTATCCAAGGGCATACCAGCGGCCGAGCAGTAAGTCGCTGAACACTGGTAGTTCGGACCGACGTTCGAATTACGCGAACGGGCTAGCTGCATGGGCGTTTTCATGGTTTTCCCTATGTATAGCGTGTATACGAGCCAGTCTGTCTTTGAAAGTCCCCCACGAAGGCATCTGTCCTTTTAAGCAAATAGCTCTCGAGTGCTTTGCTATAATCAAATAAACCAACCAGTTACCCGTGACCTGCTTTGCCGACATCAGTTCGAATAATCGAAAGTACTTTCGTTCTGTCGTTCCGTAAAGCGTAACATATTTAACTTTCATATTCAATCTGCCTGTTATTGAGTAATAAACCAAGCGATTAACAGCAGTTCTTTAAAATATTTTCCCAAAATTTTATCTCATTGATTTATGTATAAATGCAGGTACTTGCGTGTTATCACAACGACCTTAGTATAACTCGCATGATTGTTTAGAATTTGGCAAACTCTGTCAACCATGCACATAACCATTCTTCTGAATACCAAGCTCATCATAATTCTTCTGTCAAACAACGCAGCTATTTTCGTATGCGTTCTTTTTTGTTGTATTCCAAGTTCCAACGGTTCTTATAAATAAATCGTGGTATTTTTTGCATTAAATTTAGTTTTATAGTATGAGCCTATGAAATTTGCCAGCAATAGAAGATACTGCGTAAAATTTATGCAGGAGTACAGAATTTTGCTGAAATTTTTCTAAAAGTAACAACAAGGAAATTCGTTTTCCAGATAGTCGCTGTTGCCGAGGTTTGCACGTACCTGAGTCTCGCAGATTTCCCCGGATGTTTTCTAAGGCGAAAACAGATCGCTGTGACTTGAGGAGAAGAACAACGCAAAAAAAAAATTGCAAAAAGATTTAAAAAAGAATGGAATTGTTTTATTTTTTAATGTATCACATAATCCGTATTAAATAATTAAAATTTGTATTTGAAATTGCTAAAGTATGTCTTCTCTTCATACGTTGAGTGTGTGTGTGATTATGGCAAAACCTCGAGAGCTATGTACTTAAGAGGAGGATGCCTTCGTGGAGGACTTTCTAAGGATAACTGGCTCATATA